GTCAGTGAACTACGGCTCTGTGTAGTAAATGCCGCTCCATCTGAACGCACGTGCTAGAGATTTACTACTAATCACAGAACCGGCTTTACTGACGAGATGAGCATGAAAATCGCATTCGATTTTTTGCACAGCCCCATTATATATATATATATATATATATATATATATGTGTGTGTGTTTGTAAAATGGCACAGCTTTTTAAATATATGAAAGTACACTCTTAACGTCAGTCAGTCAAGCATTATAATATGATGATATGGTAATCAAGTATCATTTAATGATAGAACTTTAGTAATTTGAATTAAAACTTAATAACCATATATGGATGCAAATTAGTAATTTTAACTAAACTTAGGACTGGTGGTGGTGCTTTTTTGGTCATTCTGTGTTTCTGTAAAAAAATGGGAAAAAACGTACAATAATACTAGTAAGATAATAATACTACAAATTCTACTAATAAGAACAATATAAAACGCAGTAAGGATTAATGAGCTGCTGGATTCATGAATATTAATCAGGTTGTGTGCATTCACTAGAAGTGATTTGCTGAATTCAATTCAGGGACGATAATAGGTGTGCCAGCCAATGAGATTGTCGTTTGCGCATTAGTTCCGCCCACTACCGGAGAAAGCGGCAGTTCTTAAAAGCTGAAGAATTCCAAAGAAACTACAAAAAAGAAACTACTTTCCTGTTATTTTGACATGAAAATACAACAAAGAATATCGATTATATGTAGTGCGTCAATTCTGTGTGGTATGTAAGACTCTCTCGCGCTCGCTCTCTCTTTGCGTGTGAGAAAAAAGCAAAGTGGCACCTTCACACTACAGTTTACGGTACGTCAAACACAGGTTCGCTGCGCATCCATTGAGATGAACTGAAAAATAGCACAGATCGCTTGACGGAGAGAGAACTCTGAAGCGCTCAGTCAGTGTTCTGTGAGTGAAACTATATCTGTGCTTAACTTATACTTAGCCTCCAACTCACACACTGGCGAGTAAAATCTGAGAATTTATTAGCGCATTGTAGAGGTTTGGCATTAGTGATTAATTTGTAAGTTGTGAGGTCCCGGAACAAAGTGGGGTGATGGATTCGGCATGATTAGAGGAGGGAGAGGTAACAGAGCATTCGCGCAATGGAAGACCAGCTTACGTTATTAACAGCGTGCATCTTCTTACAGTAATGAAAAAAAATTGAAAAGTCATGAAATTTTAAAACCGCCATTTCCAGGCCTGGAAAAGTTTT